TATTGCCGATGCGGCAAAATGTCAACCTGTGATGTTGTAGACCTGTAGAATGTCATGACCAGTTTGTAATAGACTCACTTTATCCGACACAGCCTTCGCTCACCACATTAACATTTGCGATTGGCAGAAACATAAGGTAGAGATGGAGGCATGCTGGGCCTGCTGCGCCTTATGCTTAGTCGAATATCAGTGACGTCACATCGTCAGGTGATGCTTGATGTCCTCCAGTCAGCCTGAGTAAACCCGTTTAAACTCATAATCAGTTACACCGCATGCTCGGATGATTCGGCAGAGCCTTTATGTAGCGCGCGAATACTTGCAGTAGATAGGTGCGAAAGGCAAAGATCAAACATGGCTTATCGCACCTGATGTTTACTTGAATACCATCGACGTCATATTATTACCTGATGCGTACTAGCCTTAAGTCGAGCCGAAAGGGCCCGCAAAAGCTCATGACCAGTGACGTCACACGCTCAGTGGATCACCAGGGACGTCATATTGTTGGCTGACGCCTTATGGCTTTCACTCGGCCAAAAATAGCATGTAAAAACTCATCACCAGTGACGTCACACACTCCGGTAATTCGCCGTAGCCATCATTCAGCGCGCCTATACTTTTTACAGGTACGAAAGGCAAATATGGGACATGACCTGTCGCGCCTGATGTTATTCGAATAACAGTGACATCATGTCATCCTGTGATGCTTCACGAGACATGATGCTTTGTGGCCTTGGGCGGCCCAAGTGAATCCGTACAAACTGATGACCAGTGACGTCGCACACTTGGATGATTCGGCATCGCCTTGGTATAGCGCGTGAATGCTTGCAGTAGACAGGTACGAAAGGTAAAGATAGAACATGGCCTGTTGCGCCTCATATTTGGTATCATACCGGTGACGTCATATCACCCGGTGATGCTTCACGGGATATGATGTCTTGTAGCCTTGAGTGGCCAAGTGACTTGATACTAACTCATGGTCAGTGAGGTCACATACTAATGTGAATCGGCAGGGGCTTCATATAGCACGCGAATGCTTGCAGCAGCCAGGTACGAAAAGTAAAGATAGAACATGGCCTGTTGCGCCTGAGGTTAAGCCGAATACTAGCGATGTCGTATCGTCAGCTGATGTCTTATATCCTATAGGGAGTTCAAAAGAGCCCTTAAAAAACTCATGACCAGTGACGTTACGCACTCAGGAGATTTCACAGAGCCTTCCTTCAGCACGCCAATGCTCGCAATAGACATGTGCGAAAGGTGAAGATGAAACATGGCTTATGGCACCTGATGCTTAATTGAATACCAGTGACGTCATATCGTTATCTGACGCCTAATGACCTTCAGTCGGCCCAAAAAGGCCCGTAAAAGCTGATGACCAGTGACGTCACACACTCGGTGGACTACCAGTGACGATGTATCGTTAGCTGATGCCTTATAGGCTTCACTCAGCCAAAAATAACCTGTAAAACTCATGACCAGTGACGTAGCACACTCAGGTGATTCGGTAACTTTCATTCAGCACGCCAATGCTTGCAGTAGACAGGTACGAAGGTAAAAATGAAGCAGGGCCTGTTGCGCCCAATATTTATTCGAATACTAGCGACGTCACGCTATCCGGTGACACTTCACGGAACATGATACACCATGGCCGTGGGGCCAAAAAGCACTAGTATCAAGTGATGATTAGTGACGTCACACATTCAGGTGATTCGGTCAAATCTTTAGTCGGCACGCAAATGCTTGCAGCAGACAGGTACGAAGGGTAGAGATGGAACGAGGCCTGTTGCGCCTAATGATTAATTGAATACCAGTGACGACATATCGCCCGGTGATGCCTTACGGCATTCATGTGACGCAAAAGAGCCCTTGAACCTCACGGCTAGTGACGTCACATGCCCAATCGAATACCAGTGACATCATATCGCTAGCAAATGCCTTATGGCCTTCAGTCGGCCCAAAAGAACCCCGATCGATGCAAAACCATGTTAAGTGACGTTGCTATGTCAGCTGACGCCCAACAGCATTTCCCCATCACGACAGTACAGGAACCCTGCCAACAGATCCTCGAGAATATTTAGTACGAATGTTTGATAAGAGGGGAACCGTGTTTAGTGCCGATTCGTACTAAAAGTGGCGGTGCTTAGTACGTATAGATACCAAACAGGGCAGCCCTGTAACCCAAGGCTGACCGAACACGTCCCCGACCCTAGAGAGAGAGAGAGAGATCTACACTCACAGTATATTTTGTAACCACAGATTGATCGAGCAACCACAGATTACAAATCATATATCTATAGATATAGATATAGATATAGATATAGACATAGATATAGACATAGATAGATAGATAGATAGATAGATAGATAGATAGATATCTTCATCTATATCTACACTCATAGTATATTTTGTAACCACGGGTTGATCGAGAAACCACAGATTACAAATCATATCCAAAATTAGAGCTCACAAGATAATTTTCTATTTATGATGCATTCTTTAGTGATAAAAGTTTCCAAAAACACATTCTTTTGAAAACAAAACAAAAAGCACGTTGATCCAGAATCTTGGCACTTCTGCTCGTGGTCAGCAATTGTGTTATATGATGCAATGAGGTCATAAGAAAGGTATGGGTGCCTATAAATCATCCTCCCCCAATTAGGCCGGTTCCATAATGTTGAGAAGTTTGCTGCAAAAACAAACCCATTTCACCATCATATGCCTAAGGGTGGAAAAATGCAACTCGGGATTGGGGCGGATTTCAATTCCGGGACTCCTGAGATGCCAATGTCAGCATTAGCGGATATTTTGGCATCCACCTTTTCTTCAGTCCGGTCCGGTCCGGACTGGAGAAATTGCTGGCCGGACCAGTCCGGCCAGCAATTCACTGTTATCCATGTAATACGTTCCTCGCCAGCCCAGCTCCCTCCAGAGACGCCCATCCGTTCCCCGCCAACCCAGCTCCTTCATAACACCCACTGGCTTCCCCGTCAGCCGAGCTCTCTGCAGGAACACCCATCTGCTTTCTGCGAACTCAACTTCCGCCACAAACACTCACCTGGCTGTCGTCAACCCAGCTTCCCTATACGACACCCGCCCGCTCTCCGTCAGCCCTGCTCCCGAAAAAAAAAAACACCTTAGATCGGTCTTAAGCCCACCTCCGTCGACCGCACCCGCCGGATCCTCGCCAGCCCAGCTTCCTTGTTCCGAAACCACCTGTTCGCTGGAAGCTGATTCCCCTCGACCGCACCCACCGCGGCGATGAGGACTTGTGGCAGTTGACCTGTGTGCGTCCCAACGCTGCATCAAGCACGCGTTTTTTTCGGCCAATTTCGTGTGTCACACATTTGCCGCTGATACGGGTTATGCTGAGAGACGGATACAAGTATTACAACGTTAAGCTGAGTAGGGAAAGCTGCAACTTACATCGCAAATCTGCTGGGTATGAAACATGACTGCATCGGGTATTCTCAAGATCCTGCTTCCGCCACGAATTTGAGGTGCCTTGCAGCGGTGCTTTTCTGGTTTTTAGATATGTAATATGTATGCGCTAAAATGCAGTCAGCTTAAATATTCCATGAAGTGTAAAGAAAAAAGTGGAAGCATGTCCCACTATTGGGCCTTCGCAAGGACGCCACTGAAGTTGTCTGATCACTTGTAGGCTGTTCGGACCCTCAGTTTTAGATGTAGACCTGGCCCGTCAAAATCGGTGCCCATATGGTCCGATTTGCCGGGAAAATGGTTAAAACTGGACGTACAAATGTGATTATTGCTACAGTGATCACCGTTACAGCTTTTCCTTTATTTTTACGCTCCGTCACTTACGTCACAGTAAAACGAGGCATATTTCACAAGCCAGGTTCGCTCACAAGTACATGATGGGTACTTTTGGGTCTGGGTGAACATCTGCGCTGATGCGCAGTGCCCCATGTGATTCGACGACCGACATCCTCGGCGCGGCATCATGGCTGATCGCGAAACGCGCTCATGTTTTCTCTCCTGAAGCATATGTTAGAGAGTGCTCCACATTTCTGTGGGGGGGGGGGGGGGTTTAAGCTGAAATAGTCATATTAAAAATCAGTCTGTGCAGTTCACAGCCCTGCCCATTCTAAGACCTAAACAGCTCTAGTTTCTAGCTTCTAGTTTCTAGTTACAGCCTTTTCGGGGGGGGGGGGGGGGTATTTCAAGGTCGCCTTGGCATTCGTGACGTCATAACAAAGTCACTCAAATCCTGCCACTTCGTAAGCCGTGCGGTGATTCAGGCCAATAAAGATACAGTGGTTGAGTCGTTCATGTCAGGCGTTCGTGAGCACGATTTCCAGATATAACGGCCGTCGATTGGCTCTCAATCATTGTGTAAGGTGCGATAAGGTATCATCATGATGTACCAACAATGACGTATCGAAGAGTATATGTAAGTTGTTAGGTGCATTTGCGAGGAATATTAATAGCATAGAGAACACAGTGGTAATAGGATTATTCATCGGAAAAAACGAGGAGAATAGAAATATAGATGCGTTGATATTTCGGCAACATACCTGCATCGAAACGAACAGCGAAGTGAATTCACTTCGGCTGTCTATCTGTCACGTACTACACGACGCTTGAAATCTGCGTTTGCTTCTATTCACCCCTCGGCCCTCACTTGCTTATCACGCAGCCGGTCACACGTTTCGTGGCCGGCCGGGGAATCGGCGCCCGCGACACCGGCACTTGCGGCTGAGTGCTGCGGCGGGGAAATCGTGCGAGCCTATTCACTTTGTCAGATGATGATTTGGAATACAGTATCATCCGACCGATGCGCTTGTCGTGATTGGATGTGAGGGGAACTGAAATGAGGGAGAACGCGCGTTGAACAGACCAAAATAGCCCTCCTCCCCAGGCACACGAATGTCTCGAGTTAAACTGTGGGTCTGTTTTGCGGATCAGGTAGAACCGTGTTGGCGACACGCTACGTGACATGCAGAGTGAGAGCTTTGTGTACACCAGAAGTGAGGCTTCTATCG